CGTCGAACGACAAGCGTAGGAGGGCAACTGCGCGCCAAGCCAGATATCGGCTGGGTAGATTGCCGGTTTTTTTTTCTGTTTCTTTCGTTGCTTCATTATTTGACTGGCTGGGCTGTTTCCTATACTTTTTTTTTTGGCCCAATAACGATAAGTGGAGCGAACAACGCATGCGCTCTGGCCACTGGAAGACCAGGTACGTGTTTCTTTTCTTTTCTTATTTTCTTGTATTTCTTTTCTGTTTTCTTATATTTCCTTTTTATCCTTATTTTGTTTTGTCTTTCTTTTATTTCTTTTTTCTTGCAATCTATTTATTATATTTTTGTTTTTTATGTTGACTCCCAAGTTGGTACGTTTATCTTTTTTCCTTTCTTATTTGTCTTTTTTCTTTTTGTGTGGTTTTTTCTTCTTTTTATTTTCTTTACCTTTTTAAATATTTCTTTTATTTATTTTTTCTTTTACTATGCATTTTATGTTTTACTTTTCTGATGATAATATGGGCTATAGAGTTAGCGCTTCGTGTCCGGAGGTGGAGCTACTGGCCACACTCACGTGTCGAGGCTCAGATGAGTTTATTTTTATGTTCTTTCTTTTTTCTTTTATTTCATTTTCATTTCCCTATTGTATTGATTTTTTACTTTTATCTCCTTTATTCCTTTTTTTTTCTCCTTCTTTGTGTTACTGTAAATAAAATATATTTTTCTCATTATTCATGTTCTACTTTTTTATATTCGATGAGATATATGTGATGTTCGCATCGTATCTATGATATTCTATGATGTCCCAGATATTCATGTATTATATATGGGATGCTCCATGACTATTTTTGAATATTCACGTAGTACTAGTAAGATGTTTAGTTTGTTCAAATAGTATCTATGAAATGTTCCTTTTATTTTCCCCAATATTTTTTTATTTTTGCTTATTTTTTTGTTTCATGTGGTTTTTATTATTCTTTTCTTTTTTATATTTTTATAACTAATTATTATGTTTGCTTTATTTTTTTTATGTTTTATTCTTTTTTGTATTTATTTATTTATTTTTCCTTTGCTGTTTTATCTTTATATTTTCTATAGATTTTTTATTTTCTATTTTTTCTATTTTACCTTACTTAATTATTTTTTCATATTTAATTTTTTATTTTCTATTTTTTCATGAGATGCTATGTTCTAGTATATATGTGATGTTCTATGATGCTTTTTATGATGTTCTCATGGTATATCATGTCATGTTCTATGTTGTTTTTTTGTGTTCATGTAGTATACATGTGATATTCTATGTTTTTTTATGTTCAAGTGGTATACATGTGATATTCTATTATGTATTTTTATGATGTTCGCATAGTATGTATGTGATGTTCACGTAGTATACATGTGATGTTGTATGATGGTTTTTATGTTCACGTGGTATGCATATAATGTTCTATGATGTATTTTGAGATGTTCGCGTAATATGCATTTGTTGTTCTCGTAGTATATATGTGATATTCTATGATGTTTTTTGTGATTTTCACAAAGTATACAAGTGATGTTCTATGCGTATTTAGTGATGTTCACGTAATATATATTTGTTGTTTGATAATATATTTAGTGATGTTTTATGGTGTATTTAGTGATATTCACTTAGTATACATGTGATATTTTATAGTTTTTTAATGTATGAAAAGTATCTATGCGATATTCTTTTTATTTTTTCTCTATTACTTTTTTTATTTTTTCCTTATGCTTTGCTCTAGATTTTATTTTTTTATTTATGTTATGTTATTTATTTATTTATTTTATGTATATTATAATATCAATATTATGCACCTAAAACTAGCCAAAGGGCGTCTAGCTCAAACGGTTAGGTGATCCAGCGGCACACCTCAGGTCCTGAGTTCGACTCCCCATGGGAGCGAATTTCTGGCTGAGGTTAAAAAAATCCCCTCGTCCGTCCTCATGTGCCAAAGCGCAGTTATGGCCCGGCCCGGTTCTCACAGGGCAACGGATACCGCTGCGTCAGGATGACGGCGAGGTTCGGGGGTTTTCTCGATCTGTGTGAGAAGATCTTCTTCTTAAAGGGAAAACCCGGGGCCGTCATACCCACCGCAGGTCGAGTTTTTATGCACCTAAAACTAGAATATTGTTCTTCTAAGCCGAGAACATTTTTCTTACAAAAATGGAACATTAATGTCTGAACCTAGAACACTGCCTCTGCTCAATAATAGAAAATATTCTTTCTTTCTATCAAAAAAAAATTCTATCTTCAAAGGATAAATGTTCGTAAATAAAAACTTACCTAAATATATTCATGTGTGATCTTATTTTGAAGGATCTAGTGCAAGAAAGCTGATGGTGTAATCAGAATTTAATTTGGATGTTTGGTTCGGTAATTATGACTTTTTTTTAGTTCGTGCATGCTTAGGTGGGCCCTTATCTCGCTAATTATTTTGGCTTTATTATCTGCACTAATTAATTTAGATCCGCGCGCACCTCGCCACCGCAACTCTCGGTTCCCTACCGCATGCACTCCATAAAATTCACTCCCTGGCGAGGTCAAGCGTGGGAACCTCGTCCGAACGGCCGGACGGTAGGAGCCCCGATCCAACACCCCCAAGCACTGGGCCTTTGAATCACTACGTGAAAAACAGCAAGTTGTAGCAACGGAGCTTTTTTTAGGGCGGTGGCATTGGAGCCGCCCCTCTACAAAGTGGCGTGTTCGGGTTTCTCAGACAAAGAGCCCCTACAAATAACACAGTTAGGGTGGTATTGTGTCGAGCTGCCTCTACAATATCGTCGATTTGTAGGGCGGCTGGTATGTGAGCCGCTCCTACAAATGAATCGAATGTCGGCCGTTGGATTTGAAGATCGACGGTCTTTGCTGCTTTCCTTCCATGTCGATATATATAGGCTTCAACCCTAGCTCTTATCCACATTTGCACCTGTCTCTCCTCCTCTCCCTCCTCTCTCTCAAGCTGCTTAGGGCGGGCACCGATCACGATGTCCCGGGCAAGGGCGCCGCAGCCCCCCACGAGAGAGGACCGAGCCCTGGCTAGGGAGGCCAGGCACGGCGGCGCGAGGGGCCCCGGCGTGGATGGCCCCCCTCTTGCGGGCGGCATGGCTGGGCCCTAGCGCTGGCTGCCCCTCAGCGAAAGCAGCGTCCGCGAGGGGCTAAGCGCAGCGACCACCAAGCAGCTCCGGCAGGCGTCCTACGCGGCGTCCCCAGCGAGGGTGCCCTCCGGGAGGCCGGCCCCCAGCGCGGCAGCCCAGAACGGGCGGGCTACGGCGCCGTGGCCTGACCACGGCCGCGGCTGCTTCTCGTGCTGTGTCAGCTCCGACGGATACTCGGCCGGATCCATGGGGTGCATGGTCGGATCTATCGTCTAGGTGAGCTTTTTCAACTGCAACTGACTCCTGTCAAGTGTTCATCTTACTCTTCATCCTATTTTCCTGTACTGATGTTATGGTTGGATGGATGTCCAACATGTTTACCTGTGGGTTGTGCAGGCAGTGCCACATAAGCCAGAAAAATTATGCCGCAGAAGCCGAGTTCAAGATATGCAATTTCATGTTTGTTGTTTGCTTCCACCTAGGCATTGACAAGGAAGAAGGTGCTTAGTAGCTCGGACTGTACTGCCAAAATTTAGATAATGGCTGCTGTTATGTAAATAATGGTTGCTGTTAATGTGTGTGCTTCTTCCTTTTTTTTTGAACTAACTCCCAATGAATTTAAGTCAGCAATGTATTTATGTGTGTGCTTCTTCCTTTTTTTTGGAACTAACTCCCAATGAATTTCATTCTCACCCCAATTCTTATGTATGGCTCACAGTTTTGTAAACTGATATGTAAATAATGTCAGCTGTTAATGTTGAAAGTAAAGGGATGGAGCATGGAGGCGGAAGGAAATTTCATTTATCCATGTAGGCTTCTCCATGTCCTTGACATTTCAGCAATCTAGAATTTCCTTAAGTTTGGTCAATAGATTTAGATTTCACCAATCTTGTATGGTTTATAACAGGCTGATTACTTTGTTGCGATGCAGGTAGCTTTGTTGCTTGGTAGCTACTAAGAACAATGCCTCCTCTACAGCAAGGTAAAGAGACAGCTAAAAAAAACTAGATGGCTATAGTGTCAGCCTCGTGTCCTGTTTCATATCTAATTGGTGCATGGACATAAACATGACAAGATGAAAAGAGAGTCATCAGTAGAACCAAGAAAATTCTAGCTTTAGTGCCTCCTATATCCATTTTAGCCTTTTAATGTTGTGTTGCCTTCTTTTCCCTACAGGTTGTAGTCAAGTCCCAAAATAAATTTGTATGTGCGTAGTTCAGCTTCATTTTCATGTTTAAGAGTCTCAGGTGACATGTGCTTAGATTTTTTTTAAACTGGTCCCAAAATAAAGTAGAACCAAGTATGCATTATTTGCCTATCCATACGGAGCTTTTTTCCACATGTAGGTCTTACATGATTCAGCTTCGAATTAGACACATTTACATAAATAAATATTCTAATTACTGCATCATAGATGATTGAATAGATTCACCTTTCCATGTAGGCTATAATCCGATTTGCTATTTGGATTCAATTGGTTTACTTTTCATTTTCTTAATTCTCTTGCTCCAACCATTGGTGTTATTTTTTTTTTCGCACGTGTAGGCCTTACATGATTTAGTTTCAAATTAGACACAATTACGGATATAATTACTGCATCATAGATGATTGAATAGGTTTATCTCAATCCATTGGGTTTCCTTTGTAGCTATCTTTCCTCAGAATTATCGGTCTGCTGCTGTCTTCCGTTGTCCTGGAATACATGCTGAACTCCTCAGCCACCCAACCTGATATGTTTCTCTGCTGGTGGTGCAGATGAGCAAGGAGTCCACCCTGTCGGACGCTATCGATCACATCAAGAAGCTCCAGAACCCGGTCCTTGAGCTGCAACGCTAGCTCGCCGACTCGCCTGGAGAGGCCTGGGAGAAGCAGGGCAGCGCGTCGTGTTCTGAATCCTTCACCGCCACTGAAAACATGCCGTATCAGGTAATCGCTGCTGTTATGAGTTGATACTGCAAGCATGGTTTAAACATCAGGATTAGTTGCTGTGCATCTTTGGAACCGAAAATTCAAAACATTTCATAGAAGGTTTGGTTACTCAATTTCATCATAATTTTTGGATGCATTGAACTGAACCTTAACAACTAGAAAAGCCCTGAAATCTTCTTTGGACGAATGAGAGCAGAATAGTTCAATTAGGTAAAGGAGAAATGTTATGATAGCATTGGACTTCAGGATCAATGTTGTGCTTCTTTTGGAACTGAAAACTAATAGAGCAACTCAGCTTCATCACGATTTTGGGAGACACTAATTTAGTACCTTTCAATAGCTGACTATCCCCAGCAGATGCTTGAATCGGTACAATTCAAATTTCATCAAATTGACTCTTGTTTATTTGATTATTAGTATAAAATTATTAACTTCAACTATCAAACTATCATGTACTGAAAGGTTAAGCTCTGAAATTTCTTAGAATGCGTGAGATCAGAAAACCTGAAATCACTGGATGTCTGTTTTGAAGCTGAATGTTTAGCCGTGATGTACTATTGATCCCTCACAGACTCACTGTTCCATACATCTGTGCAGGGTCAAATCGAGCTGGTTCCTCTGGGGCCATACAAATACCACCTCAGGATCTTCTGCAAGAAGACCGGCGTCTTCACCAAGGTGCGGGAAGCGCTCTACAGCTACAACGCGCAGGTCACCAGCCTGAACACGATAACGTTCTATGGCTACGCCGAATCAGCGTGCTAGGTTTCACAATAGCTCTGTTAACAGCCAGGAATATAAGTCATGATGGAATTGTGTATTGTCATGGAATATTTGTTATAATCTGGTATAAATAAATGTGTAGAACAAGATAATCTGGTATAAATAAATATGTATTGTCGTTGGTCGAATTTGAATTGTAAATTTGAATATTTTTTACGAAAAAATGCACTGTAGGAGCGGTTGGTACTGTAGCCGCCCCTACAAATCGATTTGTATGGGCGGCTGATAATACTAGCCGCCTCTACAAATCGATTTGTAAGGACGGTCTGGAAACCGCCCCTACAAATGCATGATTTGTAGAGACGATTTGATAGGGGCGGCTGGCCGAGCCGCCTCTACAAACCATCGCCAGCCGCCCCTACAAATGCTTTTTTTAGTAGTGAATGAACAGAAATTATTCCACGAAAAGATGTAGCTTCGTTCATGTTGCTATATGATAACAGGACACTGGAAAATATGTGCGTGAGCCGTGAGCCGGTGTGGATACTTGCAAGCATCTCAGCTACAGATTAAAAGTCCGGAAGATCGAGTCGGATCATTATTGGATCAACGCGACCGTAGCAAATATGGATCGGACTACTAGATATTTACGCTGCATAAGCTCTCTTTAAACAAATTATTACTTATTACATAAATAAACTGCGTAAGTGCGGATAGATACCACGTATCAGGCAGGCATCAAATCTTGTGTTGTCATGCCTCGCAAAGATGTCGCCCTCCTCGTTAGGGCTTTCGTATGGCTCCTGGCGCTCGGCAAGGCGAGCGCGCTACTGGACGACGACTGGCCTCCCGATCCGGCGACGTACCCGCCGGGGCGAGTCGTCGCCATCGACCTGGGCAACACTAACTCGTGCGTCGCCGGCTACGAGAGCGGCGAGACGACCCAGACCATGTTCCACCACTGCATCCCCTCCTGGGTCGCCTTCGCCGACGACGGCGCCGTCCTCGTCGGCGAGGACGCCGTGCACCACGACGCCGTCAACCCCGGGGCCGCTGTCTTCGGCTTCAAGCGCCTCCTCGGCAAAAGGTAATTAACCATACATCTAGCTACTTTCCTAATTACTAATCTCTAGCTAGAATATTGCATGCATGCGCGCTGGTGGCTGGTGCTGGATCGGATCAATTAATATTGGTGATGAATGGTTTCCTTTATCGGCCGAAATCTCCTGATATTTCCGATATATCATTTTTATCCGTAGGTGCCGATAAGAAGATATCTATCTTTTTCGTACAAATTTTGTTTAAATTTATTTAAATTTACTTAAATTTAAATCAAATTTTATTTGAATTTGGTCCGATATTTCCGATATATCATGTTTATCCTCTTTATCTGTGACCCCGATAAATTTTAATTTCCGAAAATAAAAACCTTGGTGATGATAACGAACCAAATTCATGTATGCAGATTCACTCGCGTTTTCGAGCAGGAATTTGCTCAGAGCGTCAAAGAGAATCTGCCATACAAGGTCGTCGAGGAGAACGTGCAGCTTCACATCGAGGTGAAGACGGCCAAGGACGGCGCAGTCAGGAACGTCGGCGTCGAGCAGCTCACGGCCGTGGTGCTGGCCAAGCTCAAGGAGACGGCGGAGGAGCACCTCGGCCACCGGGTGGAGGCCGCCATCCTCACGCTCCCGCTGCAGTTTTCCGACTACGCGTCCAGGTCCGCAGCAGTGTTCGCCGGCAGGCTTGCCGGCCTCAAGGCCGTGAGGGTGGGGCTCAGCGAGCCCATCGCGGCCGCCATCGCCTATGGCCTCAGCAGGAACCTGCGCGACGAGGGCAACGTCGTCGTGCTGCACGTCGGCGGCGGCACGGCCGAGGCGAACGTCATGACCTTCGTGGACGGTGTGTATGAAGCCTTGAGCTCGCAGTATGACCCTTTCTTTGGAGGACAGGACTTCGACCGGAGGATCGTGGACCACTTCGTCCAACTGATCAGGGACAAGCATGGAAAGGACATCGCCAACGATGGCATTGCACTCAGCAAACTGAGGATAGCGTGCGAGCTTGCCAAGAAGACATTGAGCCACCAGGAACATGCGCAAGTGAGCATCGAATGGCTCGTCGACGGCGTAGATTTGTCAGAGCCACTGACGCGGGCTGAGTTTGAGGAACTGAACCATGATCTGTTCCTCAAAGTTGTTGAGATGGTGGATAGGGTGGTGTCACAAGCTGAAGTGGAGACCATTGATGAGGTGCTTCTTATTGGTGGAAGCACCATGATCCCAAAGGTTAGGGAACTCATCAGGGACTACTTTGGTGGGACCAAGGCAGTGCTCCATTCAAGGTTGAAACCAGATGAGGTGGTCACCATTGGAGCCGCGGAGTACAGCAAACGACATGACGCATTGTGTACGTAGCAGCTGATGAGTTGACTAACGCGGTCAAAATGTAGATGTTTGCCTTTTATTTTGGCCTACGTTCATCCGATTTATAGCCTATATATACGTTTAGCGGGCACAATCCACATTTCTGTGTTTAGATTTATCTTTTTTCTTCTCTTTGTCTATTTGTTCCATGATATGTTTATTCATTTGTTCCATTCTTAAAAGGTAATGTTTTGCTAATATTATTTACTTATGTAGTTTTTTAAAAAATGTTCTACAGATTTCATTATTTTAGAAGTGCAAATGTTTTTTTCTCCGGTACAAAATTTTGTTCCTATATACCGTAAAGGGTAACGTTTTGCTAACTTATGTAATTTTTAAAATATTATGTGAATTTCATTACTTTTATTGTACAAGTGTTTTGTTTCTCTCCTATAATAAAGAATCATCTCCTTCCCCGCCACCGCGCTGTCCTTTGCCTTCCCCACCGCCACGCCACCCGACACCGACCAATCTCTACCTCCAAGCCACCTTCTTGGCCATGCCGCCGCCACACCAGCGGGAGAGAGTGAGAGAAAGATTAAGAGGAGGGAGAGAGTGTCGTCTCAGACCTAGGTGAATGAGAGGGTGAGAAAAGCGCACCATGCACAGGATCCTGGAGCGTCTGTGCGACCCTCGCACCGCCAGAACTTGCCCCACCCCTACTAGAAACCAATTTGTCTGCCAAACTGCCCCCGCCCCTACGTACTATCTTGCCCTGGGGCACTAGCTGGCGCTCCCGTTGGACAAGGAGAGAAAGGGGCGGTTGAGAAAGAGAGAGAAAGAGGGATGGAGCACCTGTTTGAGGGGTGGGTGAGAGAGAGAACGAGACGGTTGTGGCTGAAGTTGTGAGTGGGAGGAAGAGAAGTGAGGGAGTTAGGGTCTTGCCCGCTTATGTAGTCCGAGATCCAAAGTGCGCTGAGATGGGTCGCACGTATTCATAGCAAGCTCAACCTGTTAACAGAGGTGGCCCAAGGCTTTTCCAAAGGTGGACCTTCTGATCGGTCCGTCTTTGTTAATTCATTTTCAGAGGTGGCTGCTTTCTAGGTGTCTCCGTAAATAGTCAGATCTCCACACCAAGGACACATTTTTTGACTGCCTTTGTAAAGCAAGTCACACATGTCTTGCTTCAACACCGCCACACCAAAGAGGAAGATCCAACGCGGCGGTTAGCCTAGCTGTAATTAAAATGGGAATAATATGGATTCCCCTTTCACTAGTGTTACAGTAATTAGTCACATCTGCTAGAATTCAGTCGCGACAGGTTTTTGGGTCCGTCTGCTGTCTTTTGTTGTTGAGCTGACGTACGCACCAAGGTAAGCATGACTTGTGGCCAACTGCATCGCTTGACCATTTGCAAAAAAAACAGGCACCCTTAATTAGTATGTACTCCATAAAATAGTGCATGGCCTGCAGCCAGCAATGGCGGTACCGGTTGGCCGCTGGGATACGGGATACCTCTCCATTACTGACGAATAGTAATACTCCCTCCGGTTATTTAAAGCAAGTCATTTTGGACATCGACACGGTCTTTAAGAAACAACTTTGACTGTAACTTTTTGCTATAAAATATAGTCAATATATACTTTTATGAAACTACATTTCGAGATGAATCTACTTACATCACTTTCATATTTTCAAACTCAACCCAAAAGAAGTTATTTGTAGTCAAAGTTTAAAATGTTTGACTTAAGACAACCTCAAAACGACTTGCTTTAGAGAACCGGAGGGAGTAATATATAGAACAGATAAGCTTACGCACTCTATGAACAAATAAAAGAGAAGTACTTGTGGGCTTCTACAATACTAGCTGAGATATAGTATTGTTTATCCATTGCTTATATATAAATATATGTTTAATGAAGCAATAAACTTCAATTTCAATCAATCAGTTACTTCCTCCATCCCAAATTGTAAGTCATTTCAAGAATCTTGGAGAGTCAAAGCTTCTCAAGTTTGACCAAAATTATAAAAAAAATTACAAAGATTTATGACATCAAATAGATATACTATAAAAATATATTTAACAAAGAATCTATTAGTACATAGTTGGTATCATAAATGTTATTATCTTATTATATAAACTTGGTCAAACTTGAGATGCTTTGATTCTCCAAGATTCTTGGAATGACTTATAATTTGGGATGGAGGGAGTATATGTCAGCGATTCAACTCTTTGTATTGTTGTGCTCATGCCTCGACGTTGTCGACACAATATTTGTTGTGCCGGTTTAGCTATTTTCATTTGGATCTGGGCTCGGCGGCGTTGTTGTACTCAATGTTGTTAGCATGCCTCGATCAGTGGTAATCCCACCAAGTACATACTAAAATACACTTCGTCATCATGCTCATGCATATTGCAAAATCTTGAAGCACATATATATATACCCCTGGTGTCCGCGACGTACGCAAACGAATGTCGTCATTGGAAGACAGGCAGCCATGGCGCCTCGTCGTGGTTGGCGCTGGCGCCACCGTCTCCCTACCGCGCTCGTGCTCCTCACCACCATCACCGTCGTCGCCAGCAGCTTGCTTGGTGGGTACGCCAGCGTGGAGACTTACACACCGGCCAGGACGCACTGCCCGGCGGAAGGCGGCAACTTCAGCGCCGGCAGCATG